CCCTAGCCCATCTCCCCTTGCACCCGCCGGCTTCCCCCCTTTCCTCTTGGGAATCCCGCCGCCCCTCTCCTCTCCCTCTTCCTTCTTCTCAAACCACAAGTGCTCTCCTCCACCACATCATATCTCCTTCTCTCCTTAGTGGTGTTTTTTTTAACGCTGGCAAGATGCATGGCAGATCCCGATATTGACAGCGGATTTGTGCTCGACACCTACGGCGACATTCGCATCACCCGCTCACCGTTCTTCGACGTCGGGTTCGGCTTCGACGACATTGTTGACGACTATTTGAACCGTATCCTTCCCACTCTCGTAGAAGTTCTAGACGATCAATTCCAAGACTACGATTGGATCATTGTCGGCGACCCACCATCCTCATCACCATCGGCTACCGATCCGTCAACGAAGGTCTTTGGCATCATCTTCCTAGTGGTGATCTCGATTCTAGCATGCAAAATCTTCTCTCGCCTAAGCCTAGTGTAGTCGAGTAAACAATCCCCGAGGTGAAAACTCTCATTATTAAATTGTGGATTGTTGTTTAATAGCTCTTAGCTTTGCTACTATTTTTGTTTATCTACAAGGATTGGTTAATCTACATGTGCTCCTTCGCCTAAGCAAGTTAAAAACCAAGAATCTTTAGTGAATTGCCTTGTTATCACAATAAGTTATTGAGTGGAATTATTTTGCCGATTTATTCTTAAATTCCTTAATGAGCTCCTGTGCATTTGGTTTCACATCACTTCCCCTTTGGAATTGTTCCTTTTTACACATCGTAATGGCTTAAAGCCATTATTTGTAGGGATATTGGCCTTCAAATGAGGTGATAGCTCTTGGGTCAGAGTTTAGCTACCAACTATTATCTCGAAAGCAGGCATTGACTTTTCTCTTGGCTTTTCTTGACATTTTGGTACAAAAGACAGAGGCCTCAGCATTATCCCTCTCAGGAGTAAAAGTAAACTCCTTGAGAACTTCATTTTCATTCATGCTTTATTTAGTTGGATCAATGATGACCAACTTCAGGTTGGGGCTCATAAGCCCTTCTCTAAGCGATGGGATTCACGGAAGGTGCCATTGACAGTCTTAAAAACACAGAGATCCTTTTGGGGCCTTTCTCATTCACACTTGTATCAGGTCCTTTGGCAAATTAGCTCCTTGGCGCCATTGGAGCTACATTTTAGTCAGCTTTAGGCAATATAATTTCATCATTATCGTTGACAGGAAGGAACTTCATAACCTCATAAATAGTTTCAAATTGAAGGGAGGCGCCGGCATGGCCAGTGTTAATGACAGCTTGAGGGAACTGTACCCTCAATCCTTCCCTAAGACTTATAGTCATTATTGTTAACATGTGCCATATTCAGGTAACCTATCATATGACTTGCAAGAATTAAAGTTATCCTTGATTTCAAACTCGGAATTCTATTGCAGAAAGAAACATTAATTTGACATAAAGAACATCTTTTAGATGTATATAATTTACTCAATAATTCATCCAATGATAGAGAGAGAATTATTACCCAGCGGAGTCGCCAGAAGTCTATTCGCTTAAGAAAAATGACGCTTTTGGCATGAATTATGCTTTTCAGACTTAGGATTCCATTCTTCTTAAGGTGGATTCAGATTTAATTAACCAGATTTTCCTTGAGGATTGTATCAGGGTTTGGTTAGATCTATTTCCTTTACTTCCTATGAGCGCAAGCCATCATAGTTAATTACCCCTTCTACTTCATAAGAGAGAACTCTCGATTAAGGATGAATCACTCCAGTGTAGCTTAGGAATTTTACGTTTTAGTCTCATTTGTGAGGGATGGAGATAGACAAGATCAAGATCCTATTGTTACGTCATCTTTGGAATACCATAAGTTTCAATCTACCAAAACTAACAACCTGTTTATTGTAGTGTCTAGGGAATCTAATTAACAGCCATAGGTTGCATCTTTTCAGGGATCCAGAATAAACTGAAGTTGATATGTATGAATTTTAGTTTTGGGGGGTTTAAATTATGGTTTGGGGTTTTATCTATTAGAAGGCCCGTTAATTTATTTAGCTTGGGGCTTATGACTCTACTTAGGAGTTGCCCAATAATTTGATTTAGGATGGGACTTACAGCTTTATTTAGAAGTTTGATAGATTTGATTTAGGATGGGGCTTACGACTTCGCTTTGGAGTTGTCCGAAAATTTAGAGATAAGTCTTTCTGCTTTTCTTGGAAGAAGCCTATTAATTTATAAGAGATAGGACTTACTGCTTCCCTTGGAAGAAGCTTGTTCGTTTGGTTTTGGGATAGGTCTTACGGCTTTCAATGAAAGTTGCCTGTAATTTTAGTTTTGGATTGATCTTACTGCTTCTCTTGGAAGTTACCTATGATTTTCTTTGATAGGTCTTATGACTTCTCTCAGAAGTTGCTTGTAATTTTAGCTTTGGATGAGTCTTACGGATTCCTTTGGAAGTTGCTTGTAATTTTGTTTTTAGCACTATAATTTTTTGTTAAATCACTTTACTCTTTTGTTTTTAGTAATGTAATTTTATTTACAATACTAAATTAGCCTTTGTTTTTATGTTTGCGGGTACATGGGCCCTGTACTTGGAGAAGTTTACTTGGAGCTTTGCTTAGGTGTTGTGTTTAGTTGAATTTGAGTCTGTTAAGGGCTTGTTTGAGTTGTTTTTTAGTTTGAGTTTAGTGAGATTGTTATACACAGGTTGATTTTAGTGCAAACATTTATTTATTATTTCTTTTTACTTCATATTTTTTAAATTAATTAAAATGAAATAATTTAAATGAATTTTATTCATTGAGTTAATTAATTGACTAATTAATTAATTGAAATGAGTTTTAACTTATTGCATTTTAAATTAATTAATTGATTTCACGATTCATTTTGTTTCAAATTTAAGATTTAATTAGAAATTAAATTGAACTTTTAATTAACTAATTAATTAATTAGAATTTTAATTAATTAATTTTTTTAATTAGAATTTCAATTAACAATTATATGCTCTCCAGCTGCTTCAAAACTCTCTTTTCTTAGAATAATTCGGTAGTATCCTGCCGACTCCTCCCCGCAAAGGGAGGTTGGGACAACACTTGTCGTTGGTTCTTCTCGCCCATATCAACGGTATGACTCGAGGTCTTCAAATTTAAAATCATCCTGTCCGGATCAACGATATGATGGCACGGTGTCTTCGAATTAAAAATCTTCCAGCCCGAATCAAAGATCAACTGTGCATGGTCTTGAAATTTAATGGATACTTGTCATTCATTGCAAACAAAAACTTTTATTTAATTGCACAGTAATTTATTACTTAAATTGAAATGAGTTTTAACTTATTGCATTTTAAATTTATAAATAAATTAATTAATTAATTAAATTCTCCATTCATTTTATTTTAAATTTAAGATTTAATTAGAAATTCAATCGGAATTTTAATTAACTAATTAATTAATTAGAATTTTAATTGATTAATTAATAATTATTTTTTTAATTAGAATTTCAATTAACATATATGCTCTCCAACTGCTTCAAAACTCTCTTTTCTTAGAAAAATTTGGCAGTCCCCCGACGAATTCTCCCCGCAAAGGGAGGTTGGAACAACACTTGTCGTTGTTTCTTCTCGCCAAGATCAACAATATGACTCGAGGTTTTCAAATTTAAAATCATCCCGCCTGGATCAAAGATACAACAGCGGGGTCTTCAAATTAAAAATCATCCCGCCATGATCAAAGATACAACTGTGGGGGGTCTTCGAATTAAAAATCATCTCGCCCAACTCAAAGATCAACGGCGCGGGGTCTTGAAATTTAATGGATACCTTTCATTCATTTCCAAAAAAAAAAAAACTTTATTTAATTACATAGTAATTTTTTTACTTAAACTAATGTGGTCGATTGGGCTCATTCTATGTGAATTAGAGAAAGATAAACAATTCTGAACACTGTCTTTCTATCTTGATTGAACTAAAACCAAAAGAAGATGTCTTTTCTGGAGGAATGCATCTATTCGATTGTTTTTTGCAACAGTGTATCCGTTCAGATTTTTCCTGTTTCTCACTTTTTTTATTTCTATTTTAATTCAGTCAACAGTTGAATAGTTTTAATAAAAAATTCATAGAGGTGCACGCCTCCATCCAATGAGACAAGAGGTGCGCCTTAGCCAATCTCAGGTGCACTCCTCAGAGCAATGTTCAAGGCATGCTCCTCGAAATGTTTTGCATCGAAATTGTTTTGAGGCGCGCACACCTAGTATTTTGCAATTTAAAATAGTGAATATATCATCATCCTTTTGCTGCTAGGAACATTTTTGTTTTGCTTGTCTTGCTTAGCCCATTTTAATGGACTTCATAAATTGAATTTTTTAGAGCTAGGAAATCGATAACTTGCTCCAGCTTATAAAAGCTTATTGGAGCACTGAATTTTGATTGCTTGTTCTACTGGTTTTTATCATCCTTCTGCTGCCAACAGCTGTAGGAACTATAAATTGAATTTTTATTTATTTATAGAGCTTGTATACTAAAATTATTGTATTGCTGTTTATATGCTAATAGGTCTGAGACTTGAGATGAGTTTTAACATTCACATTAAGTTTGCATGTAGGAATTCCTTTATAGCTGCATCGTAAGTGTCATATGCATGTTGAATTCATATGCATTAATTATGAGTGCAAAACACTGTTGAGAGTTTGACAAGTTATCGCAAACTGTGGGAGAACTTCAACAATGAGCAGAGGTGCTAGATCGTAGAAAGGACATCTCTCAGATCAAAGAACTGAAATTTTGGAGAGTGATTCCACAATGTTTAAGAAAATTTGAAGAAATTTTGCTACAGATAGAAACCTTTAGAACACAACGTCCAGCAAACAACATTTTTGGCGAGGGTGCATCCAGTCTTTAAAATTGCAATTTTGTACCATTTTTTCAGTACTAGCAGATATTTGCCGAGTGTGTGGATCATTTATATAAATAACCAGTTTTATTAATGATGTGAGTAAATTCATTGGAACTTTGCAGGTATTTCTGGAAAGCCCCTTCAAGCATATATTTTTATGGGGCCTATTTACTACCAGAAGTTGAAACATATGGTAATGTTTCCTTACAGTTGTGTTTCAGTTTATGTGATCTTGAATAGCATGAAAGCTTCTCCAGATTTTGAGCTTGATAGTCATTTCATGCTGGATATAAGTTTGTGAACCATAAACTAGATCCTTTTCTCATTTATTAGGTATTATTTTGCTCATCCTTATTCTCATGCATCCAAGTACTCTCTCGCTCGCTTTGCCAGTAAACTCGCTTTCTGCGGTTATGCCTTTCTACTCAGCCGAGTTTGCTCTCACTTGCATGTTTTTGCACCATGTAAACATTGATCTTGCGCTTGATTTTCGTTGGTTATGCTGTGTATGCTCACTTGCTCTCTGGCATTGGTGTCACTCTTGCACTTCCATTTGCGTAGGCCTTTTCTTTATCCCTTTTGCACCTAGAGAAACTTTTGTATTGCCTTCTTTTTTCTTGCCTTCAATGGATTTTTTGCTGCCTCTGACGTGGTGCTCGTTCAATTCTTTTTGTTTTGGATGATCCCAAACTCCTCCTTTCCTGCCAATTTTTCGGATGGTGTCATTTGCCATTTCCCTTCATTTTTTTATCAAGATTTAATATCATTCCTCATAAGCATACATCCACATATCAGGGAAAACATGCTCTTGTATTTAGTAAAGAAATTGAACTTGTTAGGCCACTGTTTTTTTTATTGTTGACAAATTCTTATCGAGTCGCTCAAACCTTGAAGTTATCTGCAAATTTACATCTGTTTTAAATTTAGTTTGTGACCATTTCATTGAACTCTCATGTAATTACTAGACTATCTTTAGAAGTATATTTCACTGGACTTTTCTCTTGAATCTCCTATAAAATCAGTGGTTACGCAATGTGTTTGCTAAAATGGCACCCCATTTTGACTTTTTTGATGAACTGGCTATTACTGCAATCTAGATTGGATTCTTACGTTGTTTAAATTATGTCAAAAACTCCACTATATATTCCATGGGTTCTATGTTTGGTAATCTTTTGTGAGTGGATAATACTAAAACTTGTCTTTCAAAGTTTGATGTGACCAGTGGTTGAATTAGACATTATTTTTTAGTGGGTTTGAATTTGAAGACATCCCATCATATAATTGTTCATCTCAAAAAATTTTGGGTATATTTTTTTCTGAATGCTTCAAGACTCATCTAGATTTGGGAAGATCTAATTATCTAGCGTGAGTTACAATTAAAAGATCAGGTCCAATTCTCTATCACTTTAGAGGCAATTCTTTCATCATATCAGGATTGCAACTATAAAATGGTACCAATGTTTTTTTTTTGTTTTTGCTTTGAATTAAAGGATCTTGTGCCTACATCTACTTCTACACTTGCATCCATCACCATTAAACTTAATCCATCTGCTACTGCAGCATCTCACCAAAGCCCAATTTGTGAAACATATGGTCAAGATGCTCATTAGCCTTATGGATCAGATGTGAGCACTTAAGAGCTTTGACTCTCTAGCGGATATGAGACTTTGAATTCTATTACTGGATGAGGCAGGGATTAAAAAAAAAAAAAAACCTATCATCGTTCTTCTATGTTTACTATTGTTGACCTCCGTATAATATCAAAAAAAAAAGAGGAAACAAAAAAAAAAAAAACGAAATGATACCTCTGCTCCGTTGAATCCCGGATATCTCGCAAACCTCAGGCTCGACAAATCCCGCGAATCCTGCACGAAATACCGCCGAGACAGCGCCGAATCGGTCACCTCCCGCAAATCCCTCGCAGAACCTTGAACGAGCGCCCAGGTCGCCTTCAAATACCGACCCAAAGCTCCCTCGTGGAGGATTTCTTCCTCTTCTCCACGCAAAATTCGCCCGAGCTCTCTCTTCTACGCGCTCCTTCCCCTCCCTCCGACGCCGGTCGACCTCGCTCCTTCACGCGACTTTCCCTTTCAGTCGGAACGAAAGTTACGACTGTCTGATCGGAAGCAAGCCAGAGCTCGCGGGCTGTGGGATTAAATTTCTCCCTTTCGTGTGCTACCCGACCGAATTCGAGCGCCTCGAGCTGCCCGATTTCCTCCCTCTGGCCGATCGACCCCGCTCCTTCCACGGCTTTCCCTTCCCGTTCGATCGCAAGCCAGAACAGGAGCCCGCCGACTGTGAAGTTAACTCCCTACCTTTTGCGCGCTTCTCCAGCACGTATATCCTACGTATCTGATCGATGACTAGCCTTAATCGAAAGTTCTCTCTCGTGATCGGGAGGGGAAATTAACTATAGGGGCTTGCGCCTATAGGAAACCAGAACTCAGATCATAAAGTCCTCACAAAATGAGGGCGAAATCTCTGGGTAGTGTCTTATCTACAAACACATCTGCCTTCCAAAATTTACCTCGGAACTTAGTTCGTTAAAACTCCCTCGCCGAATAAAGAAGAGCGAGCGGAGGCCGGGGCCGAATTTTCGGAGCCCACAACTATGCTTCAAGCAAGGTGATCCAAATGAATCTTTGTTGTTTTTATATTCCTAAGGATTTGGTATCATATGTTATCATGATATCTTTTTTTTTCTTTAATAATGTTTTATAGTTACTCTTAATGTACTCACATCATTTTTTTAGTTATGATATTTTTTTTAAAAAAAAAGATATTATTTTATTATTAAATTTAGAAAAATAATTGACTATCATAAGAAATAGATAAGCTCTTTACGTCAAATGCACTATAAAATCACCAGCATGAAGAGTTTTAAGATATATATATTGGTGGTCTTACGATACTTATTATATTTTAAATTATTATAGAATATCAAAATAGTTATTTAAAAACACAATTATTAATTATATAGCATTATAATATTTTCTTATATAAAGAAGTTTTAAAGTAATAAATTATGGGATATTTATTAGATAATTTTATTTATAATAAAGATATTTCTCCCTACTTATGATGTTCTTTATAAGCATAAATCTATTGATTTACTTTTATTTGCTAAAGATTGAATAAATGAGGCATAATAAGTTTATGTAAGCTAGCTCAAAACTTTTAAATTTATTTTTTGTGGTCTTCACATTATATAACTTAATTATTTTATAATAATTCATATCCCAATACAACCAAGATATTCCTCCTTCATTATGCATGTAAATGGTACACTCTATTCAATCCTGCATAAATTAGGTTTGTTTGAATTGAACAGCGCAACTCAACCTAGATTAGGCTGATCAGCCTAATCGGGACTAGAAGGTTTTCTTCTTTTGGTGCACATAGGGATCCTTCTTAGATATTAATGCACCTCTTCTTCTATGATTGTTGCCACTTCCAACACATGTTTTGGGTCAAGAAAGAGTGGCTTGCAATCTGTAATCCACTAGATGGTTCAAAGGTCAACAACAATCCAGAAAAATCACCCATAGGACTCCATTTAATTATATGTAGCAACTATGATTAGCATGTATATGATTTATTTCATTTTATGTTTGCTATTTAATTCTAACATGTTTAATGGATAAAAATCAATCTAACTTTTTCAATAACTCTATTGTTTAAAAAGACTTGATTAGAAAATATTAGAAATGACCTTTCTTTATTAGATTTAAATAAGAATTTGACTCTGAATCGTACACAGTGGAGAAAAAAGATTCAAGTGGCTGACCCCACGTAGTGGGATAAAGGCTTGATGTAGTTGTTGTATTTTTAGTTTTTGTTATAATTTTGTAATTGGTAATACATTATTTAGGAAAAGAGATAGAGCATCTTGTCACTTATGAGAATAAAAATAATAAAACTCAGATTGATTATTTTCTTACATGAAAAATATATCATTAAGATTGCAAAGATTGTAAAGTCATTCTTGGTGAAAGTTTGTATACCTAGCATTACTTATTAGCTTTACACTTCAAGATAAAATTGTGAAATATAAAATATAAAATAATATATTATCCTAAGATTACATGAGGCATTTAAATAATGCTAATAAAAATAATTTTTAGAGTAAGATTCAAGATCTCAAGATTTGGATTATTCATAAGGAAGCTAATATTATATGGGAAAAATTAGTTAGTGATATTAAGAATGTTGTAAAGTATTTGCTTGAAGAATCAAATGAAAAAGTTGTTAATAGAAAAAATAGTTGGTGGTAGAAACCAAAGAAAAGATAAAAATACAAGGCATTGTTATAAAATTGGTTTAGATATAGCAGCATGGAAAATTGGAAAACATATAGTGGATCATTAGGGAGTCTAAGAAAGTAATATATGATGTAATGAATTTTGCTTTTAATGATTTATTTAATAGATTATATTCTAAAAAAAGTTAGCCAAGCAAAGAGGTAGAAGTAAAAATCTAGTTCAAGGGAACTGCATTAAGGATGAAGATTAAAAAATATTTTCTTAAAAGATATTCAACATATGTGGATGAGATATTTCGATAATCTTTTTAGTAAAGATTGTGAGAATACGATTGACTTTAGTGATCTTAGCATCCTAAATAAAAATAGAAAATTTTATTTTTATCGTCCTATTAGTATTTGAAGATGCTTTAAGAAAATGAAGTACGAAAAAGTAGTGGGACCTGATAATATTCCAATGGAGGTATGAAAATGCATAGATCAACTAATTTTTTGGATTACTAAAATTTTCAAAATTATTTTGAAGACTTAAACTATATTAGATGAGTGGAGAAGGAGTGTGTTGGTTCATATTTTAAGAATAAATATGATGCATAAGAGTGTGCAAATTATAGATGAATTAAGTTAATGTGTCATGCTTGAAAATTATGGGAGAGTGTAATTGAGCATAGGTTATGACGTGATACGTATGTTTCTCAAAATCAGTTTGGATTTATGTTAGTTAGGTTTATTATGGAAGCTATACTTTTGTTAAGAGGCTTGAAGGAGAAGTATAGAGAGAGTTAGAAGGATCTACATATGGTATTTATTCATTTAGAGTATATGATAAAGTTCCAAGAGAAGTTCTTTAAAGAGTTCTAGAAAAGAAAGGAGTCAATAATGCTTATATTAAGTCATTAAGGATATATATGCAAGAGATGTTACTTGTGTTCAAACACAAGGTGGTTTGATCAAATATTTTTCTAATTCAGTTGGATTACATCAAGGATCAATTTTAAGTCCATATCTTTTTGCTTTAGTCATGAATGCTCTTACTAGACATTTGCAAGAGGATATACCCTGGTGTATGTTTTCTAGTAATGATATTCTTGTTGATAAGACTAGAGAGGAAGTTGAAAGAAAACTTGAACTATTGAGGTCAACCTTAGAGTCTAAAAGTTTTTGTTTGAGTGGATCTAAAATCAAATACATGGAGTGCACGTTTTAGATATCTCAGATCGAATATTTAAAGCGATGGTGAAATAGATGGGAATATTATTAGCAGAATTCAAATTAGATGGTTGCAGTGGAGGAATGCATCAGACTTGATGTTTGATAGAAAAGTACCACTCAAATTTAAGGAAAATTTTTATAAGATGGTGGTGAGACCCACAATGCTTTATGGCACAAAATTTTGGCCATTAAAAGAGAAGCATAAAATTAGTATTGCAGAGATGATGATGCTCAAGTCGATGAGTGGCTTTACACTTAAAACCAAATGTGAAATAAATATCTACGGGAAAAAGTTGGAATAGCTCCAGTGGAAAATAAGTTTAGAGAGAGTCACCTTAGATGGTTTGGTCACATAAATTGTCGGGCATCTAAGGACCCGGTTAGGAGGCTATATTAAAAAAGATAGAGGTAGATCTAAAATGACTTAGTTAGAAAATATTATAAATGACCATTTTTATTAGAATTGAATTTGAATTTGACTCTTAGTAGGACACAATGGAGAAAAAAGATTCACGTAGTTGACCCCATATAGTGGGATAAATGTTTGATGTTGTTATTGTTGTTGCTTTATTGGGATGAAACCGAGCTCAATTTTTTTTGACATTATTTATGATTGAGTTCTAGGGAGGATTACTCTTAATTATTTTATTTTTTTAATTAATTTAACCATTTAAGTATGCGGTTTATTCTATGCCTCATGAATAAAAAATACCTCAATACCAAATTTTGTAATTTCAAACCTTAAATCAACTGCTTATATACTACGATAACATGAATCATATATATTTGCTAGGTTAATTTAACGTGCAGTGTTTCATTGAGCTCCCTTAGTCCTTGTTTAAACAAGGCCATTACAGGACACACAGAGTATGTCTTGATTTAGTCTTCTCGTTTACAGCATTAGCCATGTAATTATATCCCAGGCTCACAAAGATGAAGTAATAAACATCAAGCTCTTACTTTAATGGTAGTTGTTAGTTTTTTGCTGGAGATTTATTTAGAATTACATATGTCATATTGGATGTCCTTATCGTCATGGATACTGGTGTATATTTTAGTTAAACTTTTTGGTGCTACAGGTCCTTGATAAGATGCATGCTCGGTCCTTTGGACCTCGCGTGACATTGACAAGACAACCAACGGAAGGAAGAGCTCGTGATGGAGGTTATTTATACACCATATAATGACATTGAAATGTTGCATTTGGCAGTCTATACACATTTATTTGAAGTCTAATTGGCATTCTATTTCTTTTTCCATTAATTTGTCCTCAGGCTTACGCTTGGGAGAAATGGAACGTGATTGCTTGATTGCATACGGTGCAAGCATGCTGATCTATGAACGGCTGATGTTATCAAGTGACCCTTATCAAGTTCAGGTAGTCGCACATTAACTTTCAATTGAATGTAAATGATGATTTTTACTATTCTTAATTTTATTTTTTGGAAGAGAACCTTTTAACACATCTTTTTTGGAGTTTTAAATGCTAGGGTTGTAAATCGGATTGCTTGTTTGCATACTTGATTTCTCATGATGTAGGCATAATACAATGCTAAACTACAGCTATTACATCAAACAAATCTTCCAGAATAAGAAGCCTACAATTATACTCCTAAATGCTAGGCAATTACGTGAAATTTGTAGCTGTAATAATATAGCCTCAATACAAGAATTTTGAAATTAATTTGGCAAAATTTGGCTAAGGTCATAAATTCAGCTAATGCCCCCCTTCAAATTGTTGTTGGTTTGTCAAAAAACATCAATTTTCCCAAACGAAATTTATGGCGTTGGCATGTAATTGCCTTGGTAAAGAAGTATGCAAATTTGAAAGCTGATAGAAATACTAGGAAAAAAAATAATTTAAGTGCTGAATGCTTCTCAAATCGAATGGAAATCCACTTCAATATGTTTTTGCGCACATGATAATCAGATATTGCCCTTATGGAGTGGGTGGGATTATATTGAGAAAAATCAAGTTCAACTATTAATGGCTTTAAGTCCGCACTCTTTTCATACTTAAGGATGTTGGATTTAAATTTGTCCGTGGAAACACCTTGAGTCTACTCGTAAGACAAGCTAGGACGGCGGGGCGAGGAAGGGGAGATGTGTGAGTTAGGATAAGAGGGTCTAGAATTCTATTATTTTCTGTGAATGGTTAAAATAGCATGAATCCAAAAATGCCTCTAATGCTAGTGCCTCTCTCAATAAGGCTCTTCTGAGGTAAATAGCTTTCTTGGTCGGGCTCCACTGAGGTGAATGCCTCGTTCAGTTCCTATAACTCGTCTAGATGCTGAGTTTGTATACAGGGATACAATCATGAGAAAATCAAATGTCACAGTTATTGCCAATCAATTTTGCTATTGAAATAAGACTAATGGAAAGTCTTGAGAAATACGAGGACATTTTTCATGGAAGAATTAATGCCCTCAATTGCACGAATAGGAGTGATTGATTACCATTAGCGATTTTTATAGAGGATAAGTTATAATATGATTGAATGCAGACCAGAGTCCACATCCAAAGATGGAGGAGATAGAAGATTTGAATCTAATCACTTAAAGCCCAATAAGGCTTTAATAATTATCAGTTAAACCATTTTAGGAAGAAAATTTAGGATGATACTTATCAAAAGTTGATCCATCTTATTTTATGAAAATCTTCAACAACAATAAAAGATTCAATGGAAATTTTATCATAAATCATGTCAACAATTTCAATCCAAAAAATTTAAAATTTAGAGTAATATTCTTGGATTGAGATGTTGCCTTGAGTGTGACTAGCAATCTCAAATTCAAACTAAGAATACATGGCTACATTATCCTTATTAATTTTTTTTGTAAAACATATTTAATTTTCTTAGATGGCATTACATTGAGAATAATTGCCTAATCAAAGGATTCTAAGATCCATACTTATGACCTTTGCATCTTTTGCCAATAAAGTTTTGTTTGAGACCGCTTTCTTATTATTGCTTTAAGAATGGTATGAAGGCTTCATTTGGCACGGCTTTTTTATTGCTTCTTGAAGCAGCTTTTTAGTATAAAAATTAAAATTTTTGTACTAAAAAGTTGCTTCAAGAAGCAGTAAAAAAGCCGTCCCAAACAAGCCGAAGTTTATCTCTCTTTAAAGTTGTTTTCTCATGACAAATTTTCCAAAATTGATATTCTCGGATAGAGTAATTTTTACCTTTGAGGCGAATATTGAAATTATCTTTTGTTATGTTCCAGGTTTGCAGGCAATGCGGTTTGTTAGGCTACTATAATCACAAGCTAAAAACATCTTGGTGTTCAATGTGCAAAACTGGGGACAGTATGTCTAGCTTGAAACTGCCATATGCTTGCAAGCTTCTTTTTCAGGTATGAACTGACCCGACCCGAAATCTGAATTAAATTTAAACCTGTTGGAAAAATTGCCTGAGAGATTTTATATTTGCAAATGCAAAATTACTTTGGAAACTAAAGTGTTAGACTTTCATCCTGACGATAAGTTCTACTCATCCTTACCTGCTTCGTCACAGGAATTGCAGTCAATGAATGTTGTTCCACGTTTGAAGCTGACGGAGTACTGATAATGGAGGCAAGTTAATTTTCGGTATGTAAATGAGTTGGTGACTATCTCTAATGTCAAAGTTTCTTTACTGAGATTAAGGCTTTGTTTGAGACGACTTTCTTACTGCTTCTTAAAGCAGCTTTTTAGTACAAAAATTAAATTTTTTATAGTAAAAAGCTGCTTTAAGAAGCGGTAATAAAGCCGTTCCAAATGAAACCTAAAAATGTGTTAAATATGCAGTTTGAATGGTGGTTATGTGAAAAGGATAGTGTAGAATCTGCACAACAAAAAGAGCAATCATGCATTAAAGTTCTATAGTTCAGTTTTATTTATGAAGCATTTAATCGCTTGATTTATTAAATTTTAATGCATAATTCACCAGTTATTATTATTTTAGTTGCTTGTTGAAATTGAAATATAAAGAAAAAGTTTAAGGTTTTGTTTGGGATAAGCTTTTTTACTATTTTTTATAGAAGTTTTTTAGTTAAAAAAAATTATCGTAAGCACTGAAAAAGTAGTCTTCAAAAGTTGTCTTAAATGAAGCCTAAATTACAAGGTTTTGAAAATCAGATTGGACCGACCGATTCAACCAGTTGAACCGCAAACCGATCGGCCGGTCAGTTTCGATTTATTCAATAATCAGCTTTGCAAAGAATTGGGATTGTACTGTTTGAGCCGTTGGTTCAATCATCAAATCGGAAAATTGATCTATTAGAGACGCTAATCAGAGATTTAATTAGTTAATCATATGTAATTATATTAACTGTTTAGATGTATCCACTTAGTTTGTGACACGTGTAACTGGGCACCTAGTCTATGCACCTATATAATCTACTCCACTGTATCTGTAATGGATCATCCAATACAATTGATCTTCTTTCTCTTCTACTGTTCATCTTCTTGATCTCCGGTGGTCTCACCGTGAGAAACATCAGACTCTCTGTTTCTACAACCGGTTTCAAAAAAACCAGGTGGTTGGGCGACCTCGACTGCAAGGAAAGGCAGTTTTTTTTTTTTTTTTACTTTTTAGCTATTCAAATGGGTGATTGAGAAGATATGGGTTGTATTGAGTGGGGAGGCAACATAATTATCAGAAATTTGAGTTTATTTTAGAAGGTTATAAGGTTGGGAGATAGCCAAGAAGATTTAAATAATGTTTTTTTTAAATAATAATTATGTTTAATTTTTTCACTATATATTTATAAATAATTGTTATTATTATACAATTTAAATATAATATGTTTTTATTACATCATTTGGTTTGACTTCGATTTGATTGGTCGAACCGTAAACTTCTAGTTTGTTATTCTATCGACCTAAAAAATTAAGTTTGACTCATATTTAGATCTATCAACCTAAAAGAACATATTTTTTAACACTAAATGTAGTCAAAGATGTTTTAGCATAAATGATCTTGGAATGCCTTGACATTGCCTAAATTAAATTTGTAGCTTTATATAACAAAAAAAATGGCCACACGTCAGTATTCAAGAGAAATTTAACTTTGTTAGCCTCATAAGAGTATTTCATTATTTTAAAAACCATATTTAAAAGATTAATTTATATTAAATTACACAATTATATAGAAATAGAATTCAAAACCCTCGCTCAAAAGTTTCACATAAATGATCTATACTTTTCAATCATCATCTATTAAAAGAAAATGATGTTATACATTTGATTATTTAGAATTGAATACATCATTTGCACTTTAAACCCTAAATCCAAATTAGCATTAGACATCATATTACCTACTACAAATATGTTTGAATTTTCTGTAAACTTTTTTTAAAAGATTTCACACGATGTTCAAATAAGATTCAAGCACTATTCATACAAGCTTCTAATAAGGTTTGAAGATTATTCAACCCGAAATGGGTCGGGTTCGGGTTGACACAGCAACCCAAAAATGACCCGAAATTGACATGAAAATTCATATTTGACTCGGAAACTCGAGATTGACCCGACAATTGAAGATTGGCCTGATTTTTATCCAAAAACTAGCAATTTTAGATCAACTTCGGGTCATTCGTGTTGGGTCGGGTTGACCCGGACCCGAATCGGGTCGGGTCCGGAAACCTGACCCGTTTTTAAAAAAGGGTCGGGTTCGGGTTGACCCGAACAGTGCCGGATCAATTTCATGTTCGACTCGAACCCGACCCGTTGACCCGAATTGACACCCCTAGCCTTAATTCATCTAATTACTAGGAATGATTGATGAAGATGAAAATGAGAGATGAAGACATAACTTGAGTTGCAGAGGAAATGTGTGGAATTTTGTAGAGAGAGCACCAAGGATCTTAAGGTCAAAAGGCAACAAAGTGTTTAAGAGTAAATATTTTTTGTTATTACTGATGGATGAAGATATAAGTATAATCTCAAGTATTTTATTTTAATTATTAGTTTACATGCTAGATTATCGTTATTATTTAACTCACATTTTTTACTTTAATTTGTCCTTTACAGGCAATTATTTACACTAAATTGCTGCATATAGTTAGGAGAATGACTTTTTTATGTTTGTTGTACATACTCTTTCTTAGCCTATCTTAGTTAAAATTCTAAAGAAGAAGATAACAAATCACATATTCTAAGATAAAATAATCAAAAAGAGTTGAATAATAATCAATTATAATTTAATTCATGCTCTACTTTTAAGGCTTAAAATAGCTTTTTATTTTTGTATCAGAGCTGAAGTCTGACCAACTTAGATCGAAAATAAATATCATTATTTCTATTTATTTTATTTTGTATGATCAAACGACAGTATTTGTACCAGCGGTCGAACGGCCGGGAAGCCGCCGTTAAAATAAACCGCAGGAAAAACGCCGCCGGCAACAGTTTCCGACGCCGTTTTTTCCGGCGGCGTGACAACCGCCGAAAAGCCTCCAGTTTTACTCAGAACTGTCGATATTTACAAGTAAACCGCCAGCAAAAACCACCGATAATGAGCAAATTTCCTGTAGTGTGATATTGTATTATAAACATCTTAAATTCAATTTAAATTGTATATTGTGTAGTTGTTGTATTGAAGTTTGATATGTCGTAGCTATTGGATTGCTCTTTATTGTGATATAATGATTGAATTTTCTGTTGTATTATAGCTATTAGATTATACGTTATTGTCGGATCACCGCCGGAGCCTCGCTGGACCACCACCGGAGCCTCGCCGGATCACCACCGGATCCTCGCCGGACCACCGTCGTAGCCTCGCCGGACAACCACTGGAACCTCGCCGGACCACCACCTCAAGGCCCGACGTTCAGGCCCGACGTTCAGGTCCGACATTCTATTGAAGGCCCGACGTTCATGCCCGACATTCATCTCTCAAGTCCCGACATTCTACTGAATGCCCGACGTTCAGGCCCGACATTCTTCTCAAGTCCCGACGTTCTGTTGAAGGTCCAACATTCTGCTCAAGGCCCGACGTTCAGGCCTGACGTCTTCATCTGAGACCCTCACTTTTACCAACGGCCTCGCCAGAGGCCCTCACCTTTGCCAGAGGCCCTTGTCTTCGCCAGATCATCATCAAAGGTCGTGTGCTCCACCATAACATCACATGAGGCCCAGACTTCCGTCAGACCACTACTTGAGGCCTTAAGCTCCAGCAGGCCACCACTTAATGCCCACAGTTCTCCCAGAATACTGCCGACTACGGTCCTTCCGACCTCTGTCGCCTACTATGGTCCTTCCGGCCTCCATCAAAAGACAACGGTCTTTTTGACCCTGGTCTCTCGCCGACTACGGTCCTTTCGACCTCTGTCGCCTACTATGGTCCTTCCGGCCTCCATCAACAGATAACGGTCTTTCTGACCCCGGTCTCTTGCCGACTACGGTCCTTCCGACCTCCGTCGCCTACTACGGTCCTTCCGACCAAACAAATATGTATATGTAACTCCCATCATGTAATACACTATATATGATGTACATTTGTGACATCAAGCCATGGCCTTCTCCCTAAGAAGGGCTCATTTGTAATCGACTACAAATACTAGTGGATTCATTCAAACTGGGCCAGGCCCCGTGGTTTTTCCCCCTTTCAGGGGTTTTCCACGTAAAAACTCTGGTGTCTCTTATGAATGCTACACCCTCTCTCTTATCTGATTGCGTGCTGGATTTTCGTACAATGCTAAGACGTTAAACCATATATTTCTCTACCACCGCGAATACTCCAGGACGCAACAATACTCTTTCTTAGCCTATCTTAGTTAAAATTCTAAAGAAGAAGATAACAAATCACATATTCTAAGATACAAGAATCAAAAAGAGTTAAATAATAATCAATTATAATTTAATTCATGCTCTACTTTTAAGGGTTAAAATAGCTTTTTATTTTTGTATCAGAGCTGAAGTCTGACCAACTTAGATCGAAAATAAATATCATTATTTCTATTTATTTTATTTTGTATGATCAAACGACGGTATTTGTACCGGCGGTCTAACGGCCAGGAAGCCGCCGGTAAAAATACCGGCGATAATCAGCGGTGTATGCCACCGGAAAGTCGTCGGTTAAATAAACCGCAGGAAAAACGCCACCGGCAATAGTTTCTGACGCCGTTTTTTCCGGTGGTGTGACAACCGCCGAAAAGCCGCTAGTTTTACTCAGAATCGTCAATATTTACAAGTAAACCGTTGACAAAAACCGCTGGTAATGAACAAATTTTCTGTAGTGTGATATTGTATTATAAATATCTTAAATTCCATTAAAATTGTATATTGTGTAGTTGTTGTATTGAAGTTTGATATGTCGTACCCATTGGATTGCTCTTTATTGTGATATAATGATTGAATTTTCTGTTGTATTATAGCTATTAGATTATACGTTATTATATCTATCTTATAATATGCCTTATTATAATATTTTGATTACAAGCTGTTATAGTTTTCTTGTAATTTGTTTTGTTAGAATTATCGGATTGCATTCTGTTATATTTAAATAAGTTAAACCATGACTTAACCCTATTTCAGACCTTATTTGAACCCTATTCGATAATATTTGAACTTTGTAAAATTTTTATTAAGATTTCCTAATTTTTCATGACTCCACCAATGAGTATAGATTTGTTCAAATATATATTTTTTTCCTATGCATATGATTCAATTTATAGTATAAATTTGACTAAAATATAATATTTTAATTTAAAAATATATTCACTTATCAATTTTTCCAAGGCTTTAAAAATCAGATTGGACCGACTAGTTCAACCTGTTGAACCGTGAACCAGCCAACCAGTTGGTTCACTGTTTACTATAAAATTAGTTTCACACAAAACTGCTATCAAACTGTTCGAAACGGCGGTTTGATCGCCGAACCGCTAAACCGATCCATGTTTTGAATAATCAGGTGTTTCATTTGAAAAATGATTTGAGCTGTTCAGGCCATATTTGATAGCCTAAAATTAACTAAGGTAAAACTTATACTTATATAGAACGAAAACAAAAACAAAAACTCTTTCTACGCTTCTTCCTATTCGCCCTGACTCGTCATCTGTTTCGTGATGCCACAAAGAAGAAGGAACCTAAGAAGAGCGTGCTCAATTCCTCTCTAACCTACTATTATGAGTTCATCACTTCTTTTCCTCGGCCATCGCTCTACTTTATTCTTCTCGCATTCATGACATGTTCTTTAGGGGCTGTTTGGTATCGGATTTATCGTGGGATTTAAGTCGGATTTACGCTAAATCCAGCCAAACGGTTTTTTGTGCGCGCGTTAAATCCTGGGATTCCGTAAATCTTACGGATTTACAGCTTAAATCCCGGATTTACTAAATCCCTCGGTTCGGTGGATTTAACGGGATTTAACATTAGAAGCGCGTGAAAGGGAGAAAGTTAACTTCACAGCCAGCGAGCTCCTGTTCTTGCTTCCGATCAAAATGTCGTAACTTTCGATCCGACAAGAAGGGAAAGTCGTCGAAGGAGCAAAGTCGAAAAGCCACAAAGGAACTAAAGTAGCAACGCGCGCAATCTGTACACCTCCTGCAAATCAACGAAGCCGGAGGAGCGAAGTCGAACAGCCACGAAGGAACCGAAGTAGCAACGCGCGCAATCTGTACACCTCCTGTGAATCAACGAAGCTGAACAGCAACGACAAAAAGAAAAGATGAAATACAAACCCTAGACGCCTCAAAGTTATTATCGATTAACTTAATTTATATAATTTAAACAAATAATAATTAAGTTATTTAATTAAATAATTAATAGTAGAATTAGTGCATAAATTAATTATCTAATTTAACTTAATTGATTAATTAATGATATAATTAAGAGGACATTTTATTAGCATGTGGTATATAAAGTGAAGATATTATGTTCTTTCATTCTTAGTCTAATTTCTTTTAAAATATATATATAGCATAATAATAATAATGAATTTAATTTTAAATTTATGGAATTTATTTGTTTTATTTTCTTATCATTCATATTATGATTATATTCAATTTCTATTATATATTTACAAATATGCATAATTATTATAATATTTAAATATAAAAAATATTTATTATATCATCTCGTTCCATTTATATAGACAGCCGAGAGCTGTTCGATTTGCATACTTCGCTAGGGTTCGGGAGACTGTGGATTACCATCAAAGCTATTTCATCTACAAAAATTACTATCTTGATTTCCATATTTGATATCGCATCTCACGAGCATCTTGGGACGTTGATAAGCTGCGCCCATGGCGCTAACCAATTTTATTCTTACGGTAGCGGCTGTAAGCGCCGCTGTCCTCCTCCTACGCAGCGACGTGAAGCAGTCGGCGGCTATTTTCCGGCGTAACATGCGCCACATCAGGAACTGGATTGAAGAGGAATCCGCCTCCACCGGCAAGTTAGTTTCGTTATCCTCTTACTTCCCACTGCCTTTTCCTTCTCCAGCTCCGTTTTTCAGATGCAGAAGTTTGTGTTTTGTTACTCGAATCAGAAGAATTTGACGAGTTTGGCTGTTGATTGTGCCAAATTTGTGTTTTCCCCCTTTGTTAACTCCCTTTCTTTGGATTCACGATCGGGAATGGGTTCGAAATTTCGCTTTGGCTAGTTGTTAGTTTTAATTTTGAAGGGGAAAATTTAATCTGTGGGTAGTGAGTTGGTTATGGACGTTGAAGTTGTGTTTAATTTGTTGTTATGCCTTCATTATTCTATTTTCTCGTAGATTGTTAGATTTTAACCCAATGGTCGCCGTCCTTATAGTTGGTAAAAGGTGCTGAACTTATGGTTTTTATACTTTGCCAAAGTTTATTAGGTGGAAAAAGGATTCATGTTTTGAAAGAATTTTAGGGGAGCGTCATTCTTTATTAAACTATGCCCTTTGCAAGTCAGTTAAGCATTTCATTGATGTTGCTCATAATTAAATTAATATAGTTTCATCTTCAATCTTTGACATGAATAGTGGCATCATTGGATTATGTATCATTGTTACCTATCTGTGCTTATCCTTCTTTTTAAGTTGCATTAATTATGCAGTATAGCTCTTTCCTTTTAAGCTTTGGCATAATCATCTCTCATTTGAAGGTCATTCAATCATTCAAAAATATGGATAAATGATGTAAGATATGTGACTATGTGAGGAATGTTAGGAGAAGAGCTCTAAGATTTTGATATTATGACCTTCAAATTTAAGATAAAATTATAATCTTTTTAATATCATGTAAAATATTTGTTTGCACAATTTCAAGACTTTTAAGATTGTTTAATCATCAATGAAATGCACCACAATGGATGGTTTCGAGTACATGTGAAGATAATTGTTATTTCTACCTTGGTTACCGTTGTTTCCTTAAATTAGTAAAATTCATAGCCACTTCAATAGCACATGATATAGATTTCCAATTTAATAATAAGCAATCTCCATTGTGTGCATGTTTCTTCCTAAGAAAGAGTTAATCTTGAAATAACATCATCGTTAGTTTTGAATTGACTATTTGATCCTAGAAACCATGTGTAATATATTGCTTGTTTCTATTCTACACTTGTTGGCTTCATATTTGCCTCAAGTTCATCCAATAAAATTTGAAGCATGGATTTTTGTAGGGGCACTATAAAACACTGTATTGGATTTTTTGACCCACACTCAAACATAGCCACTTTACTCTAGAGTTCAAAGGCAAACACATCTCCTCATGCTCCCATCATTCAATGAAATGCACCATCCCCCCCCCCCCCTACCCTTAACACTAAAAAATAACTCCATGGAAGAGTTCAGAGGCAAGCATCTCTCCTTTGACTACTCCCCAGCATTCCCCCTCTTTACTAACACCAACCCACATAAAGTACTGCTACACTCCCTGAAAATTTCTACGACAAATTGGATTTGTGGTCCACTTTATTTGGTGGACCAATCAGCAAGGGAAGCTTAATGTACTTTTGCTTTTGGAATGCGCCTAAACAAAAGCTAATGTGGCTTGAGTTTAAGTACAAGTTTTTGGTGAGTTTGCATTACTCTGGTAGAATGCTTCATGCTCGATCCTGACCAATAAATAGCTCAAGCTCTCCCCTCTCATATATGGTTTTTTCTTTGTTCTCCCTCTTTGGAAATCAGGACAAGAAGATAGTTGTCTTACTGCTTATTTGGATATAAGGTAGGACATAAAATAAAAGCTGCATCCTGCCGCCATTAATCAAAAATAGTTCAAGCTCTCCTCTCTTAGATGTGCGACGACTCTATTATCCTCACTAGATAGCAACTAAAACACCAATATGACTGCAATTCTTGCTATTTTGAGAGCTTACAATCCCAAAATAAGAGTTTGCATTTTGCATGTACTTGACCAAAACTATTTCAGGATCTCCTTTCCCATCTGTTTGGTCATTCCTTCTTAGTAGTAGGTAGTGAAAGAAAATAGTTACTATGTTGCCTAAATGGAGAACATTTTGATACTTATGCCTTTGAATGTTTTATGCTCGTCATTAACCAGGAATAGATCCAAGTTCTCATGCTTGTCATGTGCCCCATTGTCCCGTGTCAGGAACAATTGAAGTGAGAATTTTCATTATCATGCTTCTAATTCAGCGAGTGTCACTTATTTCGTTTCCTCTATCCCGATCATCATGTCATGTCGTCTTTTTTATTAAAAAAAATTCTAATATTTTTTGGATATCCTTTTGGCACAAACCTAAACCATAATCAAGTTTTGACACATGCTGGACAGGAATTAGTTATTACCTAGATTATCAACTAATTGCTTCTCTTTATTATCATCTTTTAATTTCCTTATACTATGATTTTAATACTGCCAAGAATGGTGCTTGATAATATCATCTTAAATCTTAATGATTATAAAATATACAATTCATGTGTTCTGGACATATCATGACATATATATATATATTCTTGCATCAACAATGTGGTTTGTTTTGTCCATGTGTTTGCTTGTATCTGGGTCGGGGGTTCTGAATTTTTTATTTCAAGTTATTGATCAGATAACCATGAATAAAGTTTCAATGCAACTCATTTTTGGGCTAAGTAATGCCTATTCAATTAAGGTTTTGTGAAATTAAATTTATTGTGGTAATTATATGTCATTTTTAATACTTTATTATCAAGTCTTTTTACTGCTTTTCGATAAACAAAATAAGATTTCCGAAAGCTAGAAATGAGATTTCCAAAATCCTCTATCTTTTATTCTATTATGATTGTATCTCTAGTTCAGTATCTCTTCAAATTCGAAAGAAATGCTTTCTTTAATTTTTCATAAAACAAGGATAGTACGATCCCAGTTCAGCATGAAAGATTTTAAATTTTAGAAAAGAAACCTCACAGGAAAGCGCTTGCAGAAAATGCAAAATTTTTCCAGCATGGAGTCACCGGCCAGGAAATAGTTTGTGAAGAAATAAAATATTCAGAAAATGAGAAATAAAATTTTTAGACGGCATAATATCTAGTTACAATGCTTATCAATATACATCACATTTGTCCTACACATGTATTCACAATAGGTAGCTTTGAGCTTTTCTCCTACTTTACAAAAAACAAGATTAATCTGTGTAAGAAATGTGCTTTAAAAGTTCCATCTGGCAGAGTACCCTCTCTATGGCTTCATGAGGATATAGAACACGCTTTGAGCTTATATGGGTTCTTGATACTGGTGATGGAAGGTTCTTACTTTCAAGCTTCTCAAGAATATTTTTTTGGCATATCCTCTGCTTGATTTTAGTACCTCGTCACTGGTCTCTCAATCTTATAAATATTCTTGATTTTTAAACACGCGTTCATCACTTCATTCTTTATCTATTTAATGCTCTTTTGATTTTCAGCTAGCTAGAAATTATTATTATTGAATGTTAATTATATTTGGTGAAAGATATTATCTAATATGATTTAATTTTGATTAATTAAATGACTATTGTATGCATAATATATACATATTTAATATACAAGTCATGAGTACTATAATTAGTAAAAGTGTCAGTTCACTTTACACTTTGTGCATGGAAGCAAAAAGGTGCATTTAACACTTTGACAGCACTGAAAATTATATTCTCATCACCCTTATTTTCAACACAAAAAACTATATTTAGATTCAATATACATGAATAATTCACAATTTGGTATCATCTTATATTCTAGTAATATTCAGTAATACTAGTAATATTCATAATATACTTGAAATTGCATATCTTATATATAAACTCAATGTTGTTTATTCTATAAATCTAAGGTCTTTTATATGTTAAATATTTTTACTCGATTATTTTAACTATTTCAGCAAAATTTTTCTTATCATTTAGAAGTATGCCATTAGCCATCTACTCCAACTTTTTCACATATATGCTCATTTCGTATCTTGTCTTTAAGATTAAAGCCACTCATCCACATGAGCATCCTTATCTCTACAACACTTAACTTAATATTATGCTGCTCTTTTAATGGCCAACATTCTGCGCCATAAAGCATTACAGGTCTAACCATATTATAGAATTTTCCTTAAGTTTGATTGGTAATTTTCTATCACACAATAAGCCCAATGCAATCCTCCGCTTCATCCATCCAACTTGAATTCTACTAATAATAACCCCATCTATTTTATCATCACTTTGAACAATAGACTCAATATATATAAAACATGTACTCTTATTAATGGCTTGATCGCTCAACGTCACTAACCCCCCACTAGATCTATAATCTATTACTAACAAAATTACACTCCAGGTATTCTATTTTAGATCTACTCAAACGAAAATCTTTAGACTCTAAGGCTGACCTCCATAATTCATGTTTACCTTCAACCCCCTCTTTAGTCTTATCAACAAGAAGAATATCGCCAGCAAAAAGCATACACCAAGGAACATCCTCCTGCGAATCTCTAGTAAGACCATCCATGACTAAAGCAAAAAACATAAGGGCTTAAGGCTGATCCTTGATGTAATCCAACTGAAATTGGAAAATACTTGGTCAAACCATCTTGTGCTTGAACACAAGTAACAACTCCATACAAATTCCTAATGACTTGAATATAAGCATTATTAATCCCTTTCTTTTTTAGAACTCTCCATATCACTTCACTTGGAGCTTTATCATATGCTTTTTCTAAATCAATAAATATGAGATCTTCCTTTATCTCTCCTTGAAGTAACTGATAGTTCTTTTAATTTCATATGCTGCCATGTACATTGTTGTCCGTGTATATTTTTTTTCTTGCAAAATTTGGCTCCCTGCGCTTCAGTTACCAATAAGGTTGCTGATCGCATTTGTTTCAAATTGAGGTTTTCATTGGCATAATCCTCTTGCAAAGAACAGAACTGATCCTGACTGACAAGTATGTATATGCTAATATTATAAGAATGAATGGAATGTACCATTGCTCCCTAAAAAAGAGGTCGAAGGTCCAAATTCCTTAAAACCGTTTCGATGAGCCATGCGAGCTCTGAGTGGTCTATGATGAATCTTTGCCACCAATATCCATAAGGAACATTACTTCTCACTCCCAAGAAATCAACATTTCCTGTATCTGGTAATATACAAGATAAATGCAACATATACTAAGAGATGGTGGCCAAACATCTCACCTTTTTATAGAGAACTTTATATATATATATGAAGTCAGGTATGTGGCTTGTCTCACTTGAGAAGGTAGAAGATCTAACAAGTCTGCATGGTGTCTAATAGCCAGTTTTCCATCCAACATATAAATGTTATATCTAATTGTCGTGTTCATGCAATAATTTGTATGGAAAAATAAATGCATTTTTGTGTACTTGCCATCTATGTTTTCTCGATCTGTTGTGTCCATTTATAGAAGATTTAAGATTTAATGGCTTTCTTACCGCTCTTTAAGAAGCAGTAAGAAAGTCGTCCCAAACAAAATCTTAGACTCTGCAAAGCATTTTGATTGTCACTTCTGCCATTAACGGTCTTGAGCTTTTGTTTGAGGGATCCTGTTGTATTTTACTGCCACTGTTTACCTGACAAATTTCATAATAGCTAAGAGTTTGGATCTCAGTTCTAAAGTGATTCTCAACTTTGACAAAAATTAAAATGTTTGTGCTAAAAATGCATTTTCTCAGGTCAGCTGAAGGAACCATTCAGAAGGAATTGGATTCAAAAGTTCCAAAGAAAGATCATCCCAAGGAGGAAAAGAATTAAGGCTTCATTTGGGACAGCTTTCTTAGTATAAAACTTTTGAATTAAAAATTTTTGTACTAGAAAGTTATTTTTGAAAACAGTAAAAGCTGCCCCAAACGAAACCTAAGTTTTTATATAAAGTTATTGAGAAAGAGAGGGAGAATGAGAGGGAGGGAGAGAGAGGACTGGTTTTGTATGTTCATATAGGTCTCTCTTATATGCCTTAGAATTGTTTGAATTTTTATGTTTAATTCAGGGCAAAGGAGATATTTCTGCTGTGTATTCCATTAGAACTCGAAAATTGATTATTATTATTTTCAACTTTCATATTTCTATTTAAAATTTTCAAATTTGTTTCTCCCATTGAAATTAAACATAGTATAGTTTCTTCTTTTTTAGGTTGAATATGTGTTCTTGATTTACATTTTTTTAATTTCTTTATCTTTTTAAATTAATTTCTTAAAATTATAACTAGTATAGCTTATTTTTTGGATTAATGAGAGTCTGTTTGTGATGATTGTAATTTTTTATAAATATGGTTATAAAATTATTGTAAAGAATAATTTTTTTTCAAAATTATTGTATAAAGTGACTTTCTAGTATAAAATAGTTTTAAAAATGATAAAAAAGTAGTGGCTAAATAAATATTTATGATTATGTTCAGCCTCACATGTGCGACCTGTGATTCCATCTCTAATAAGCTCATGAGCCCATTTTGTGCCCTAGGAGAAACAAAGAAATTAAAAAAAAAATTAAAAATGAAAATTTTTTATTAACATTTTAGCAATCCTAACAACAAAAAATAATGTCCTAAAATTATTTTAAAACTAACCAAATATAAAAAATAATTCAAATATATTGAGTTCAACTTGTGCTATTTAAAATATATATTAATTCTAAATATTTACAATCAACTAGTCTCAAAAATTAAAAATAAATTTATTAATATATCATTTTTATCTAATAATGAGTCATATAATGATGAGAAAAATAAAAATAAATAGATGATGCACATAAATGCAAGTAATTTAAAATAATTATAATAATTAATTTTAATTTATCTTTTATGTGAGAAATAAAAAAATAGAGGGAGACTTGACATGTTGAATATCATAGTAAAAAAATATCTTCCCTTTTCCCTTCACTCACTAAGCGACCAAAATATATTAAATTTATTATGAAGTTCCCAACTTGTCACCCCTTCACAACACATGTGCCAAAAAAACTATTGAAATGGCTTCTTCTTCTTTTTTAATTAAAACTATTTTGTTATATTCAACATATGTTCCATTTGTATAATACATCAAACTCATTATGCTTCATAGTTTAGACTTTAGAGTGTTTGGTCCTAAAGCAAGATGAAATTTTGAATTTATATTCCTCATAATATATGTAATTGATAAAGTAGCCTTATTTTTATGAAAAATATATCGAAAAATTCTTTTAAATTGAAATGACCCTTCTAAATAAAATTATAAATCATAATCCTCAAGTGAAGAGAAAATCAAACTTAGAGCAACAATGATGCTCAAATATCTATCTTCCGAGCAACTTTTGAGTCCAACAATCTTAGAGCTTCTATGATCGGTCTACGATAAAATTTCACATCATAGTCTATAAATTTCAAATATCGTTTATTCAAGATTATTGATCTTATACTTTTGATTATTTTGATTTGAAATGTATTCATCATTGCCATGCTATAATATGAAGGAGAATAAAGGAGACCTCATATGAAAAGCATAAACAAGCTACAAACTTTTAATAAGAGTTACATGTTTTGCTCTAATATTATTCATATGCTAAAATATAAATCATAAAATATATTGGAGACCATATTAACTGTTACAACCACATTCCAACCATGACCAAATCATATTTGAACCTTTGTTTAGGAAAAATTCAAACCATGTTCAAACCTAGCTCACGACATGATTCAAATCGCACCCTTTTATTTTGTGCTCTCTATATTTTTTGAAATTGATTCATTCGAATTAATTTTCTATGAATGAATGTATTCCCTGTAATAATACACGTAGAGATGTATTGCAATGCTTGGGTCATATGTAGACCTCTGGATGTGATGGATAAAGCTGTTAAGACTATTTGATACTTTTGATCTTTTTGAAAAAGTTGAGAAAATTCTACTTTTAATGAAGAAAGGCATGAAAATTTATGTTTCTATGTCTTTCATGATGTGAGGACAAATTTCGACATTTTTATAGTGATATAGATAAGTATCGTAGTTACTTTTTTTTTTTTTTTGGTTTAATCGTAGTTACTATGTTAAATAGGAAGAGACTTTTGAGAATTAAGTGGTTAGATCACTCATTAGATACAGAGGAAGGGAAATTCAATTTAACTATATTATTGTTGTTGTGATTATACTCTATTGTATCAAAGTTATAGTTTGTTATGTTATAGATGTTGTAATTATATTTTATTCTATAAATATTAGAGTTTTATATGTTACAGCTTTTATGATTGCACTTTGTTATGCTATGAATGGCTCGAACATGATTTAAATAGGATTCAAATACTATTTAATGCTTGATTAAATCTTATTTGTGCATATTTTGATTAAAAATCTCATGCTTGAACATTTTGGAGTTTTACGTAAATAATAGTTCATGGCAATAAGTATTACAATATAAAATAGATTCAAATAGTATTTATGAACCCTTAAATATATTAATGAATACTCTACATGTCATACTACAGGAAATGACAACACTGAAATACATTAAATAGGAGCAAACAATAACATTTATGAACACTTTAATACATCCTAAGTTTGAAAAAGGTAACTTATTCAAACCATGATTTGAATATGATTTGAACTTGCGCCTCCCTAATTTCAACTTTATGTGTTTATAAACAAACTCATATAAATGAGTTGGAGTTAAGACTTGGCTAATATAAAAGCAACAATGGATGTTCTTAAAGAGAAAATAAAATTAACATAAAATACGCCTTCATTAATGACTTACTGGATGCATATTATCCATTATTTTCTTTCCCCCTCTAGTATTTGTATTGTTGTCTTAGATTTTACTCCTCTAATATCTACATGAGTATGCTTATAAATAAAGGAATGTGAAATTGTAGAGGCGCTTGTTTGAAACATAATTAAATGAGATTTGAGCCTCATTCATGACATTCAAACATTGTTCAAGGATTGCTCTAAACCTAATTTCACATCTAATAGTTAACACCTAGGTTTGAATATACATTCGTTCTTAATTCAAATAAGGATTTAATACTTAATATTATCTTTCTAAACTTGTTCCTTTTAGAACATAAGGTCATCCTATTGCCTCCTTCCTATTTTAAACATGCATGAACAATAACCTCTATTTATTTGAGGGAGCTCACAATAAATTATGAATGAGGGTAGAGGATAACTTGAAAGGAAAAAAAATGTGCTTTAAAAATGACAATAATGCTTGAAAATGAGGTGTTCCAAGAGTCATCTCCTTCATGTTTTTGCAATTTCAATAATGTTATTTCTCATATTGTTATATTATAGGTAATTTCATACCAAGTAACTTTTGAGCATATTTTTTTGAAAAAATTATTTGACCACTAACATATAGGGCTGTCAAAAACGGACATGACGCGATAACTCGACCCAAACCAGACCTAAAATTTTCAGGTTAGACCCGACCAATTTTGAAATGAGTCAAGTCTGTAAATCTGACCCTTTTGAAATTTTAGGTCGGGTCCAAGTTGACCCAATAACCCAATTGATGACCTGTAATGATCCATATGGCTAAATGTGCAAGTGTAATTAATTTGAAAATTAGGCTCTTCTTGCGTGCTCTTCTCTTCACCCATTTAACATGTGCTCTTATCTCCTCTCCTTCTTTGCTTTGCCTAGGGTTTCATCTCCTAGGATATCTAGCTATGTCTCAGATCTCTGTCTAGGGGTTCATCTCACTTCACCCATGATCTTCTCTTTACCGTGTTATCTTCTCTACACCGCTGCTTGCATCTCATTTCTTTTTTCTATTTGCTCCTTTAGAACCTTCATCTATGAACATGTATTGATATTTCTTAATGTCGGTTTGTTACACTAACTCACCTATATTTCAATACTAAAGTTCATAGGGAATATTTCATTTTAGGTTTTTTGATTTGTTGCTTATTTGTTGTTCTCTCGAATATTGCTCAGGTTGTCTGAAATTAAAAAAAAAAAGCTTGGCATACATTAGCTGGTTTGATATATATTCTAGTTTATATGAAGGTGGTTCTAGTTTGGCATGCATTCATCTCCTCGGATATCTGGCTTTCTATGATAGTTATGTGAGTTGCTCTTTAGTTATAGTTTATTTGGGTGGGGTGATTTACATGTTTTGTTTGTTGATTTTCATCTTCTGACTTGATTTATATGTTTTGTCATTCATTTAGTTAAATATTTAATGTGTTATACACTAATGTTGTTATAGTATTTAATGTGTTATTATTATATACATATATTAGAATAAGTGTTAATATAGTTAATGATTATGTTATATTATTATGATTATGTTGTATAAGTAGTTATGCGGCAAGTAATAAGGAGTTAATGAGTTAATTTGTAAAAGTGTTAAATTGTGATTGTAGTTACTAGTTAATGTGTCAATGTGTCTTTTTAAAATAAGATATTTAATGAATGGTTAAGAATTAACTTAGTAATATATGTTGGAGAATTTTTGTATCCTCGAACGGATTGCATATTTTATTATCGAGCACGGCATAACAATGATGATATATTACCCCGAAGGATAAAAATATCATTTCCTTATGGACTCAATGATAAAATTTACAATTATTAACAGAGATTCCCTCACTTGATGTTTGGTTGAGTGGGGTTTATTTATTTCTGGGGTATAGACATCCCATAGGGGCAAGCCCCTATGGTTAATTACATCCCAAACTTTGGTTTGGGAAAACTTTTGATTAAACTAGTGATTTTGCTGTTTGAAAGTCACTTAAGCATTGGCTAAAATTTATTTTTGTTTTAGAATCCATGAAAGTCTTAGTTAAAGGATTTTTGGCCTTTAGGAATTTCAAGGAG